TGTTTAATTGGGGTGGAAACTAAACTCTTCAGGACACCGGCCCTCCAGGACCGAGTTTGGACATGGCAGGATGCTCAAACTATGTGATAATGCAAAAGATGATATCCTTGCGAATCTGTTGCCTGCATGTCGTACCAAATCCATATGCTGTTATTTTCCCATTGGAGCACAAAAAAAGAAATTTTCGCAGATTCTTTGCGCTGCACTTTTCCATACAACGATAAAAAACAGAGCTCACTGTGACCGTGTCTGTCTTTTTAAGAGACAATAGCCGGCTTTCAATTACAAATTTGTGCAAAACTTTTGTGATATTTTAGAAATGCTGATTTAAAAAAACATGTTGTGAAATGACAGTGTTTCCATTAACCTATTGCCCCTGTTTTCGAATTTCCTGAAAAACACCTCATGTGAGCGTAAACATTTTTGCAATATTTGGGAGTTTATGCGGAATTGACGTTTTTCCCATCGGGCGTGTTTTCAATTCTAAATTACAATTTGCGCAATTTGAAGGGTAATGTCTAATGGCTAATGTCTCTTAAAAAGGTGCACAAGTCTACATGACTTGTGCGCTATTTGCGAAATCTTATGAAGCCAAACAGTGTTTATTTTTTCAAAGCTCGTCAACTTTCCCTCTCTTCCTCATGCAAAGCTGACGTATGGCTTCAGAAGACTACGTTTGGACAAAGACATGTATGGAAAAGAGGAAAGTGAACATTTCGTGTCATGTGCTTTGGCGTTGGTTATATGTTTGAAAGAGCGCAAAATAACACTTTCATAACTAGGCTATGGATGTGTTTGAATATTTTCGAAATTTGGCTAAACTAGTCAACTTATCCATGTTAAGGATGCGCAATATAATTAGACTAGCTCTCTGCACCCCAGTCGGATACATCTTTTAAAGTGTGTACATAAGTCACATTTCTGTGTTCATCTTGATAGAACTGGGAGAAGTTAGTAATTTTTTTACTTAACAAACCAAGGAATTTTTTTTGCAGATTATTTACACTGCAGCTTTCCATTCAACAATAAAAACCAAAAAGAGTTAATTGTGACCTTGTCTGTTCTTCTTTTAAGTGACTGCATCTCCTAAAGCTTCGAATATTTTTTTCGAAAGCTTGTTTCGAAATTTATAATCACTGCATCAGCATTATTCCTGGCCCAAAATGGTGTTGAATTTACTGTATGTAGTAACCCAACATGATGTTTGAATCTGTATGCAATTTTTGACGCACAGGAAGATCATCGGTAAATGACGACTTTCGTATTCTTCCTCGCGCATAAACTGTCCTATTGCTTCAGACGACTATCGGCTGCTACGTTTTTGGAGTGTTTGGACAAAGAAATGTTGTGTGGAAAAGTGGACAGTGGAAATTTCTTCTTTTGTGTTCTGCGAAAAAAAATAAAAATAACAGCATACAGGTTTGGAACAATAATTTTTTTACAATTTTTCTCTTTAGCGCCCACTAGCATGAGGTGTGAGTGGAGACTAGTTGAGTGTGTGTCTGGCCACCAATTGACATCCCACTTCTTGTTGTAAAGCATTTACAATTCTTCACATATGATTTGCCGTATTTTTATTCACTTTGGTGTAGGGCTGCACGATAAATCGCATGCGATATTTAATGCGCCTCTATAAGATGCGCGTTAAATATCGCATGCGATTTATCGTGCAGCCCAACTTTGGTGTTTTGCATTTTGATTTCTGTCATGGCAGTCATCAGCTTCAAATTATTTAAATTATTTTATTTTGGGGTGATCATTAGTGAATGCTGCAGCAATGCTGTTCCCCGAACCCATCCGGGTCGACTCTAGTGTGACGGACTCCCTCACTCCCGGGACACTGGGAACGGGTCATGAATTAATTCCCTGTGTAACTCTGGTGCAGATCCAAGTCTTAACTGTGTTGTGTTTTTTCTCTCTCTATCCCTTTCCTCTCATCTCTCTCTCCTCCTCCTCATGCTCTTTTCATTTCCTCTGGCTATCTGTTTCTTCACTCCACTTCCATCTCGGCCTCTGTGTCACTCTCTTTTATCTCCCACACTCCCTTCATCTTTTTTTCCTTTCTATCTGACCCCGCCCCCCCCATCCCTCCATCATCCTCTTCCTCTCATTCCCTCTAGCAACAGCTGCAGGCCCAGCACCTTTCCCAGCATGCTGCCCAGGGACTGGCCATGGCCCCTCACCACTCCGGCCTGCCTCACCCGGGACTGGCTCTGGGGGGCGGAACTGGGCTGCTGGCCCTTTCCGGGGCCCTCGGGGCCCAGCTGGCCTCTAAAGAGGAGCGAGCCCATTTTGAGGCCGTGGCAGCGGCGGCCGCAGCAGAACACCACAGAGGTATAACAAATAAAATCATACTGACAGATCACTTGACTGGTTTATTAACACCAGGGACAGAACTATCAAGTGCAGTTATAATGGTGCAATGTTTTAATCGGTGGGATTACAACGAATGCGTAATCGGATCCATCTTTCAGAGTAAGCAGAGGCCAATTGTTGTCCAATTAACGTCTGTAAATGCTGGACGAAGCCGAGCGTCAAATACATGATCTAGCTCTGTTAGTTTGACTGTGCAAAAACCAGACTGGTACAGTTTCAGTCAAAAGTACGTGTAAATGCATGCATATATTATAGTTATAACGTCTCATGCTTTTTCTCTTTACCTGTATGTACTAATTAATCTAGAAATGTGGAGTGTTCAGTTTTAGTACATTACTCTTTAGGGCTACTAACACATTTTCTGATAAAACAACTTTAAAATGTGATTTAAAACAAAAACTCTAGGTTTGCTGCATTTGTAGGGTTGTACAATTTGGCCAAAAATGTCTTTTTTTTTTTTTTTGTGTCAATTTTGCTAAATAATAAGTAATAGTAGTATTTTTAATAAAAAAAATAATAATGAGATATTATTATTATTATTATATTTCACTGAAAAATAAAACCGTAAAAACTTTACTGTACACCTGTAAAATTAGAGTACTAATGAGCAGCATGTTTAGAGGCGCACCAATTTTTTTGATAATCACATTGAGCCATATTTTGATTTTGGTTTTATTTTGATAAATCGTACATCTTTATTACTAATCCCATACTGTTTTGTTACAAACACGATTTATGAATCATCTGGCTTGTTGTGGCAATGTTTTCTAAAATTTAGTGAAAAGGGATCAGACTATAGTTGTGGTCACATTTGTCGCTATAGTGTGGTGACATTTCAGTGAAATTTTGTGTGAAATCAGCTTTCTGTTGGTCAGTGTGGCGAATCCACCAACTTGAGCATGAGCGAAATTTGTGTGGGGAACTTTTTTGGCTCTCACATGAAGATAATTTCATATGACTAAATGACTATATATCACCCACAAAAATTTGCTGAACAGCGATAAAGTGTGACTGCACCTTAACAATTTAGACTTTAAAAATACTGTAGACTAACTTTGAAGAAGAGATATGAATTGTACCTACAGATTAGAATATCATAGACCAGACTTAAGTGATCTAGAAAGATGCTAGCAATTGCATTGCACTAGTCACATTTTCTTTCTAAGACTTAAACTCTACCCTGAAATGTTGACCAGTTCGTCTTTGAAATCTGTCAGCTTATATATCATCAATGAAACATGAAAGAGTGGGAACTGAAGGAATATGCTTTTGTTATTATTAGCGGGGGGGAAATTGTTTTGCCAGGTGTAGGTTGAGATTTGTCTAACCGTCATAGTCACATTGTTTGTTTTTTGGTTTGTTTTGACTGGCCACGGGGACGTTTACCTGCCCTTCCCATGATCCCCATAGACCGTGAACCTGGACCAGTGAGTATCAGTAGTATCTGTCCGTTTTCTCTCTCTCCTCTTGCTCTCTGTCTCTTTCTCTCAGTGCAGACTTTCATGCATTAGGCGTCTCTATTGCCTGTGGGTCCAGCAGTTATGGAGCTGATTTGATTTATCCCTCGTCTCCTACATCATTATCTCTTTCTTCTCGCTCGCACACACACTTACACGCACATCCTCTGTCTCAGCCATTCTCCCTTTCCACTCATTTTCTCATCTTTCTCTTCCTCTTCCAGAGTTCACTTTCTAACGGAGACAAAGGCAGGCCTTCAGACTACCTCAGCAACGGAAAAAAGAGAAAAGCAGATGAGAAGGAATTTATGACCGACTACGTAAGTGTTCTTTCGTTGTTAAATCTGCATCGTCCTTTTATGAATCATCCACATGATCTTTATTTGATTTAAGCACATGTAGGGAATAAATAAAGAGGTGCTTAACTCTGAAGCGTGTTCTCTTTCAGGGCAGCGACGCGGAGAAGAGCGATGACAATTTGGTCGTTGACGAGGTCTGTTTGTGTTAAAGAATGAACTTAAAAATAAGGCTGACCATGTTTTCCCCTGATTAAGCCGTCGTGTGCATTGCGTTCCCTCAGGACCCTTCTTCTCCAAGGAGTGTGCAGTCGTACTCCTCCAGAGAGAATGGATTAGATAAACTCCCTCCTTCCCGTAAGGAGCCCCAGGCCAGTCCGACCTCGCTGGCTTCCTCCAGCAGTGCTGCTTCCCCTTCACGCAGCAAGGAGCCTCCTCCAGTACGTACTTAAAAACACACGCAATCATGTTCGTTTGATGTTAAACAAATGCATTTCTCATTTAGCAAGCAAGTTCCTTTCCCTCCCCGAACTAAATTCTCGCAAAGCCCTTCACTGCGACACCTTTTTTTTTTCCACCTGCACAAAAAGCCCCCCCCTCGCTTCATCCCTCCATCGTCCTCTTCCTCTCGTACCCTCTAGCAACAGCTGCAGGCCCAGCACCTTTCCCAGCATGCTGCCCAGGGACTGGCCATGGCCCCTCACCACTCCGGCCTGCCTCACCCGGGACTGGCTCTGGGGGGCGGAACTGGGCTGCTGGCCCTTTCCGGGGCCCTCGGGGCCCAGCTGGCCTCTAAAGAGGAGCGAGCCCATTTTGAGGCCGTGGCAGCGGCGGCCGCAGCAGAACACCACAGAGGTATAACAAATAAAATCATACTGACAGATCACTTGACTGGTTTATTAACACCAGGGACAGAACTATCAAGTGCAGTTATAATGGTGCAATGTTTTAATCGGTGGGATTACAACGAATGCGTAATCGGATCCATCTTTCAGAGTAAGCAGAGGCCAATTGTTGTCCAATTAACGTCTGTAAATGCTGGACGAAGCCGAGCGTCAAATACATGATCTAGCTCTGTTAGTTTGACTGTGCAAAAACCAGACTGGTACAGTTTCAGTCAAAAGTACGTGTAAATGCATGCATATATTATAGTTATAACGTCTCATGCTTTTTCTCTTTACCTGTATGTACTAATTAATCTAGAAATGTGGAGTGTTCAGTTTTAGTACATTACTCTTTAGGGCTACTAACACATTTTCTGATAAAACAACTTTAAAATGTGATTTAAAACAAAAACTCTAGGTTTGCTGCATTTGTAGGGTTGTACAATTTGGCCAAAAATGTCTTTTTTTTTTTTTTTTGTGTCAATTTTGCTAAATAATAAGTAATAGTAGTATTTTTAATAAAAAAAATAATAATGAGATATTATTATTATTATTATATTTCACTGAAAAATAAAACCGTAAAAACTTTACTGTACACCTGTAAAATTAGAGTACTAATGAGCAGCATGTTTAGAGGCGCACCAATTTTTTTGATAATCACATTGAGCCATATTTTGATTTTGGTTTTATTTTGATAAATCGTACATCTTTATTACTAATCCCATACTGTTTTGTTACAAACACGATTTATGAATCATCTGGCTTGTTGTGGCAATGTTTTCTAAAATTTAGTGAAAAGGGATCAGACTATAGTTGTGGTCACATTTGTCGCTATAGTGTGGTGACATTTCAGTGAAATTTTGTGTGAAATCAGCTTTCTGTTGGTCAGTGTGGCGAATCCACCAACTTGAGCATGAGCGAAATTTGTGTGGGGAACTTTTTTGGCTCTCACATGAAGATAATTTCATATGACTAAATGACTATATATCACCCACAAAAATTTGCTGAACAGCGATAAAGTGTGACTGCACCTTAACAATTTAGACTTTAAAAATACTGTAGACTAACTTTGAAGAAGAGATATGAATTGTACCTACAGATTAGAATATCATAGACCAGACTTAAGTGATCTAGAAAGATGCTAGCAATTGCATTGCACTAGTCACATTTTCTTTCTAAGACTTAAACTCTACCCTGAAATGTTGACCAGTTCGTCTTTGAAATCTGTCAGCTTATATATCATCAATGAAACATGAAAGAGTGGGAACTGAAGGAATATGCTTTTGTTATTATTAGCGGTGTGCTAATTGTTTTGTCTGGTGGAGGGGTGAGTTTTGTCTAACCGTCATAGTCACATTGTTTGTTTTTTGGTTTGTTTTGACTGGCCACGGGGACGTTTTCCTGCCCTTCCCATGATCCCCATAGACCGTGAACCTGGACCAGTGAGTATCAGTAGTATCTGTCCGTTTTCTCTCTCTCCTCTTGCTCTCTGTCTCTTTCTCTCAGTGCAGACTTTCATGCATTAGGCGTCTCTATTGCCTGTGGGTCCAGCAGTTATGGAGCTGATTTGATTTATCCCTCGTCTCCTACATCATTATCTCTTTCTTCTCGCTCGCACACACACTTACACGCACATCCTCTGTCTCAGCCATTCTCCCTTTCCACTCATTTTCTCATCTTTCTCTTCCTCTTCCAGAGTTCACTTTCTAACGGAGACAAAGGCAGGCCTTCAGACTACCTCAGCAATGGAAAAAAGAGAAAAGCAGATGAGAAGGAGTTCATGACCGACTACGTAAGTGTTCTTTCCGTGTTAAATCTGCTTCATCCTTTTATTAATCATCTTAATTACGGTCTTTATTTGATTTAAGCATATGTAGGGAATAAATAAAGAGTCGCTAAACTCTGAAGCGTTTTCTCTTTCAGGGCAGTGACGCGGAGAAAAGTGATGACAATTTGGTCGTTGACGAGGTCGGTTTACGTTAAAGAACGAACTTTAAAACGAGGCTGACCATGTTTTCTCCTGATTAATCCATCATGTGCATTGTGTTCCCTCAGGACCCTTCTTCTCCAAGGAGTGTGCAGTCGTACTCCCATTCTCCCTTTCCACTCATTTTCTCATCTTTCTCTTCCTCTTCCAGAGTTCACTTTCTAACGGAGACAAAGGCAGGCCTTCAGACTACCTCAGCAATGGAAAAAAGAGAAAAGCAGATGAGAAGGAGTTCATGACCGACTACGTAAGTGTTCTTTCCGTGTTAAATCTGCTTCATCCTTTTATTAATCATCTTAATTACGGTCTTTATTTGATTTAAGCATATGTAGGGAATAAATAAAGAGTCGCTAAACTCTGAAGCGTTTTCTCTTTCAGGGCAGTGACGCGGAGAAAAGTGATGACAATTTGGTCGTTGACGAGGTCGGTTTACGTTAAAGAACGAACTTTAAAACGAGGCTGACCATGTTTTCTCCTGATTAATCCATCATGTGCATTGTGTTCCCTCAGGACCCTTCTTCTCCAAGGAGTGTGCAGTCGTACTCCTCCAGAGAGAATGGATTAGATAAACTCCCTCCTTCCCGTAAGGAGCCTCTGCCCCAGGCCAGTCCGACCTCGCTGGCTTCCTCCAGCAGTGCTGCTTCCCCTTCACGCAGCAAGGAGCCTCCACCGGTACATACTTAGAAACACACACAAACTAGGGCTGCACGATTATGACAAAAATCGTAATTGTCGATTATTCCCTTGAAATTGTGATTGTTAATTACGATTATCACAGTTTACATTGAATGATGTTTATACCATTGTTTGATGCAACTGCATGCCGTATTTTTATATGAAAATAAACAAGATGAAAACACTCTTACTGAAAAACCTTTAGTGCTTTTCTATAGTATTAAGCCTCAAATGTCAACTATACATCGGATTGGT